TCTCTTTCTCTCACCCCCCTCTCTCTCACACACCTTCACACATTTATATATATATATAGGCCCTATATAAGTTATATGTACACGCATATACTCACGGGCGCGGGCGCACGCGCACGCGTGCATATCATGTCAAATTTTACTCCCAAAAAGTTCTTTAGATGTACGAGGGCTTTCCCACGGAAAATCGGAAAAGGTCCATAAAAGCAAACATCTTTGTCCTAATGTAATAAACATGTAACACGTCATACCTCAACATGTTCTTTATTACTCAATGTAATCACCATCCCGCTGGACGCATTTTTCCCATCGCTGGATTAGGGAGAAGATACCGTCCTTGAAGAATTTTTCGTCAAGGGATTTCAACCAATCTTTCACGGCTTTCACGAAGGTCTTCGTCGTCGGTGAATCATTGTCCACGAATATGGCGTTTCGTTGGTTCGAAAAGGTGATAATCTGACGTGGCTAAGTCAGGACTGTGGGGGAGGGGGTGGTGGCAGAACTTCCCAGCCGAACCTTTGGATCCTGTCTTTCATAGCGTTTGCGGTATGTGGCGTTGCGTTGTCAAGCTGCAAAATGACCCCGATGGACAACCGGCCTGGTCTTGTTCGGCGCACAACCTCTTTCACATTAGCAAGAGCCTGGCAGTATCTGTTAGCATTATCAGTTTGTCATGGTTCCAGAATGTCAAGAAGCAGAACACCCTTAGCATCCCAGAAAACCGTGGCCATGAGTTTCTTCACCGATGGCTGAACTTTAACCTTTTTCTGGCGAGGTGAAGACGTGTGCTCCCAAACCATTGAATCCCTCTACGTCTCAGGGGTCATGTGGTGTATCCAAGTCACATCACCTGTAATACTGCTTCTCGGGAATGCTTCATCGTAATGTTGGAGCTCTCCAGATAGGTTCATGACTCCCGTAACAGCTTGGCGACAGCGATTCAACTAAGTCTGAGACACTTCAGCACGTTGCATCTTGTTGTCAGCTGTCAGCTCTTTTGGGACCCATCGAGCAGAGACTTTTCGATAGTGCAGCTCTTCAAACACTATCCCATGGACAGTCGACTTTGAAATGTTTAGCGACTCGGAAATGTCGCGAATCTTTAGGCGCCAGTCTGTTTGAATGAGTTCCTTAACGCGACTCTTGTTGTCCCCAATCTTGGCAAAAAAACAAGGTCCTGGGTGAACTTTGTCACTGACATCCGTATGCCCGGCTTTGAACTTACTACACCACTCATATACCCGTGACTTTGCCATTACTTTTCTCCCCGTAAACTGACTTTTTTCAGTGTGTATTTATATAGATTTGAGACCTTTTGCGGTCAGAAACCGAATGAGGGAACTCACTTCTACCCTTGACCAATTTTCCAAGGGGGTAGCCATCCTTGGAGAACTGCGGTGATCGTTTGGTTTGTACGATGCTCATGGTGCTCAATTGGGCAATTCCCAAATGATTGTTTTACAAGTGTGCATTTACAGAATGTGAAAATATTGAAAAGTTTTCAAATTACAGCCAAATTCCGGTTTTCCGTGGGACAGCCCTCGTAGTTTCTTTAACCGAGTCAAAGGGTTATTTATTGTCGGACGACACCGATGAGTCAAAAGCAAAATAATTGCACGTAGCCTGTAGGACGATGAAGGTCGACCACATAATATGGTCATATCTATCTATCCATCCATCCATCCATCCATCCATCCATCCATCCATCCATCCATCCATCCATC